ACTTTGGAGACATGATTCAATGGGTATTATCCCATGTTTTTGAAATAGTTGCTTCCAGAAAGTTTCCTCATGTTTTGTACTATGTATTTCCCCCTTCCCCTCTCCCTATATAATCAGGCCCTATGGCCATTGTAAACACAATCTTTGAATATTGAAAACCATTTACTCTTTGAGTATTATTAAAATAGTGTGATGCTATTTTAGCCAAATTCCTAATTCTATATCTTAAGAGTGGTTATCTTAAGTGTGAGTTTTAGGTTCTAGATATTTGATTAAGTGTGTAATATCTTAATTGAATTCTAGATTCAAACCCCAAGTTAGGATAAGAGTGTGTAATATCTCCTAACACCAACTTGGTTTTATCCATCCGTGATATTTCTTCCATTTCATATCCCTCCATTTCTCCTTCTTAATCCTATTCTTTTTCTTCCATAAAATACCAAAAAAGAACTCCTAAAACACCCCTTATACTTTCGCCCACTATTTCCCTTCCATTTTCCTCCGCACATCCGCCACTAAATTATCAACTTGATAAGACCTCCGGTTAACCCCTAACATCATCCAATAACGCGGTCTCCATCAAGAGTTTGATGACGATGTCATCTATTGACTAAGTCATCCTATGACAAGGTTGTCTCATGTTGAGTCATTGTCAATGTTGTCTATAGATGTTGTTTATAAGGTCCAAGAAAGTGTGTTCCATACAACCATAATTCACTAGTCCCCCATGGTTGAGCGCATAACCTTGACGACCCCGAGTCGATCTTTCGAGCCCGGTGGTGTTTAAGGACAATCATTCAACTCACCTAGTAACATTTGGTAAAGGAGAATTCCTTGGTGAGATTAAGGCTTTGACGTGCTCCACCACTTGTCTTGCTTGATCCTTGGTCTCCTTTCTCGCTCGTCGTCCAACCTTTGTCAACTTAGTGCATGCCGCTCGCCTCTGTAAAGTTAAACACATTGTCAAACTTTATACTTGCTATGTCCATAATATTCTTCTTAGTTTGACTAAGCACGACTTTTATTATGCAAAATTTATGCCATTACTCCTTACTCCAACAAATTCACTATTTTACACCAATACTCCCGAACTTAATAAATTAATTGACACAATCACTCCAAGGATTCTCATATTTTTGTGATATTACTCCCCTGCCACTTCACTTGCCACATGGATTTTTTATTATGACATGTCAAGTTTTCATTTTTTACCCTTGCTTAATCACCTGGTCCGCCAATTATTCTTTTTCTTTTCTTTTTTATGCTCTTGAAGTGCAGTAATAATTCATGGCTTCATTTTAAAAAATAATAGAAACATGTATATTTTTTTAGGTTTTATATCTTACATTTTTACATAATGGTGTGCAAGTTCACATTTTATTATTTTCTATTTTTTACGCTCTAGAAGTAGGGGATAAATCTCTGAGTTTTATATCAATTTATTTTCTTTTTTAAACAAAGAGCAAGGGGCAACACTATAAGTTTTTATATTAATTTCTTTTTTTTTTTTAGAAAAACAATGGTGAAACACAAAATTTGTTTCCATAATAATTATTTTAAATTATACTCCGTAATAAGTTGGACTATTTCGTCACCTGTACGTCGTAATTAACAATCAAAAGAAGAGAAACTATTATGGAAACCAGTGGTGGTTCATAATAAAGAAAAAGAAATGGAAAATGGCAGGTAAAAGAAAAAAAGAAATTGGCAAATCGATCATCTACTATATAAATAAAAGAAAAAATAAAAAATAATAACCGACGTACCATGTGGCGGGTGATTAAGTATGGGAGAAAAAGAAAACTTATCAGGTCATAATGGATCTACATGAAAAGTAATTTAGCAAGTGATGTGGCGGGGAGAGTAATGTCATAAAAATATGTAAATTGTTGGAGTGATGATGTCATTTATAAATTTGAGAGTATTGGTGTAAAATAGTACTCCTAAATTTGTTGGAGTAATGATGTAAATTTTTTCTTTATAATAAAGTGAAACGTGTGTGATTGTAAGCTTATACTTTTAAAAAGAATGTACATGGCTGTAAGTTGTATTTTGTGCAGAAGAAAAAGAAATAGTATGAAAGTAGATTTTTTTTGAGATCTTCCACTTTTGAATCTGGTGAGTGGTGATCAACATTTTAAAATTTTGATGACCACCCAACTAGTCCGCGTTCGCTCTATGAGAAAGAGAGTTGACTCAAGAGGAATTGTCACATGTGGGAAGGGAACCTACATTCTTCTCCCTACATGGAAGCTCTTTTACCACTTGAACTACCAATTTGGTTTATTTTATTTGTTAACTTCATAGAAATAAATTAAATTAAAAATAGTTTCAAAAAATAAAAAGTGAAAAGAGGAAAAAAAATGAAAGAAAGATTCTTTTTCAAACAAGGAGTGCACACAGTAACTTTTAACATCTTGCGGCATATTAATTGGGGGAGTAAAACGTTTATGGTTTTGTTGGGTTCTCCCAAAAGTTTTTGCAACCAGAGATGATGAGATAATGATGTACTTCTTCTACACATACATACCATACCCACCCACCCACTACCACCACAGCATATGCTCCTACAGTCCTACCTCAAAACCCCCCAAAAACTCTGGACACAGCGAGACTTTTTAATCCTCCCGTTCTTTTGATTGATTCCACTTGGGGTTTCTCGCAGTAAAACCGGCTCCGGGGGGATCGGAGGTCTGCCTTTCTCCGCCGTGGAAGATGATGAATTTTCCGATGATACTTTCTTGATTCTCCTCTCCCCTTTCTTTGAATATATTTATATATTTAGGAAAGAAAAAAAGCTTCTTTTTTGTCCTGGGTTAATGATTCCCACTACAGTGTGCAAAAAACAAAGAAACCTTCGTTTTGCGTGCTTCTCTTTCTTTCCTCCTGTGTTCTACAAAAAGGGCAAGACTTTGATTGGATTTTGCTGTTCCAGTTGGTGAATTGGCTGAATCGGAGTTGCCCACCCTGTAATTTTACTCTATTTTGCCTTAAATTTCAGTTGGTGTGAATGGGTCTGGGCTCAAGCTGCCAAGGCAATTTTCTTGAAGATGTCTATGAGTTCTAACATCCATGTAATGAAGGGAAGCTTCTCCTCTAAGGTCAGGCTGAAGAAGGCTAGAGATTCCCCGCATGGCGGGTTGAACTGGAGAAGGAACTTTTGGGTGCTGTGGCTCTTTCTTGTTGCGATTGGATTCATTTGGTTGTTGATTAGCTCTTCGTATGGGGGTTTGAGGAGGAGTAGGGCAAGCTCGCCCGACTTGGATGGAAGCAAAGTCAGGTTTTTGCTTCAGCATTTCAATGTCAGCAGGGACGAACTTCGAGCTCTAGCTTCCTATTTTGTTGACACAGATCTGGTGAGTCTTTCATTCTTTCTAAATTGCGGACGCATTGGCTATGTATGAAGAATTGAAGATACTAATCTATTTAATCTGTTCAGATTTATTTTTTGTCTTTTTTGTGTTCTTTATAGTGCTAAAGAATTATCCAGTAGCTCAAATTGGTTAAATATGCACTTTTACCTTTATTAGAGTCATACCAAACACACTCTAATGGTTTATAATAGGAATGCCCCCTTTTAGTAATCATCACTTATTATAGTAGTGGGAGTTATACTTAATTTAAGCACCACTTTGAGGCCAAATTTAGTGAATCTGGAAAAATCAATATTGTTTCCAAAGAAAGCCAAAATCATTTTAAAGTTTCTTTCCTAATATATTGTGTAGTAGGTACGTTCTTGATGCTTTATTACTTGTGAGATGTGTAGTAGGTGAAAATGGTGATTCTAGAATGTCACTGCTGAGCTGTTTTCAGTTGAACAACTTTTCTTTCATTTCTTTTGTTTTTGTGGCTTCCATTCATTTATTATTTGTATTCTGGATATGGAGTATAATGTAATGGGTTTGATTTCACCCAAAGGAAGTGTAGCTGTGGTTAACTCATATAGCTCAATAAAATACTTACAACTTCTTTGCAACTGTTTTACTCTCTTCTTGACCCTGCTGTCCACCGGAAGATAAACATATTTGTATGATGTAAACATGGGAAGTCTTATTTAGGGTTTGCTTGAAACCTTGAAGATACTAAGGAAAATTGGGAAGACAATAGAGATAAAAATTAGCAGGAAAGTAAATTTTAGGGATAATAAAAGATGCAATCAAATTCATTTAGTTTATTTTAGATATTTGTTCAAGATTAACAGCAACCTACCAAGTAAAATTCCACGGCCTTGGGGGAGGGGTGCATGTACCTAAAAAAGTAGAGACTTTTTTTCAAAACACCCCCTCCCATGGCTATAATTGTTCAAGATCTTTTATTTGTTCATTTATTTCTAATAATTTTTAGAAATAGAAATCTAATTTTATGTTAAAAAATTAAATACCTTTACTTAGTATTCCCCCCTTTCCCTAATACTTTCCAGAATCGAAGCATATCCTTAGGAGACATGATGACTTTCAATACCTTGAAGTCAAGCAATAGAGGTGTTGGCTCCATACACAAAGTTAGTTTTGGAGTTTTATGTAGTTGTGAAAAAGACACATTATTCAAGAGTTGAGACAGGTGTGGGTGTTTGAGGATAGATGGTCACTTTTACTTTGGATAAGATGCCATCAATCCCAGCTAAGGTTCGAGAGAAAATTAGGCAACATGCAATCTGATCATATATGTGACATGGTCTCAAACTCAGTTCTTGACAGATTTTCAGAAATCTAGCTTAGTCCTCGCTCAGATCCTTATAATTTATAAGGCACCTTTTATTAGGAGTCTGTGGTCCCTTTTATAAGGCAATGTTTTTATGGGGCATTTATGGTTTTTCTATGGTTACTCCCTCCATCCCATAAACAACTTCTGGCTTGACTTTCTCGGGGTTTTAGAAAAGCATTGAAAAGTGAAAGGTGAATGATTGAAATGCATATACCTCCCTCATTTGAAGTTCAAAAGCTCAAATTTTGGAATTGAAATGAAATGTTAGTTCTCAAACACGACCTTAACTACTTTCCTTTGTTGGTGTGATCTCGTCAATTGTGCTTTATGGAGAGGAATAACATACTTCTTTAGTTCCTAGATTGAAATGCTTTTGATCCACTTTATTTGGCTTCTCTTACTCCTCTCAGTCTCGGTGATAGAGTATTAATTTAATACATTTATTCTTCTGCAGATTTCATTATTAAAACGTAGCGGAAACCTGATATATGAATCTAGTCTTGTTACCGCTGTCACTTGCGTTCTCAAAGTATTAACTTCAGAAAACCAATGTTATGAGCAGCAATGTGAATTGGCAGAGAAACTAGATGCATATGGACTGTGTCCTGTTTCAGATGAGAAAACCATTAGGCTTATCAACTCGATTCTACAACAGACATCTGCACCATTTGTTTCACATTGTGTACCATCTTCAGTCTCACCACACCATCAGTTCTCTGGAAAGGTATGGAGCTCTTGTAGATAGA